GAGGAGGAGGTATTTGAGCTAAATCCTACCTAAAGCACAGGTAGGATTTCAGAAGGCAGAGATGTGGAGGGAATGCTATTCTGAGCAAAAACAAAGAGGTGGCATCTTTTTGGGAACAGTGAGTCTAGCTGCTTAAATTTACAGTTAACTAGTTCATTGTTACATTGCCCTGTAATATCAAGTCCTTTCCCCTCTTTTGTCATCCTATACCAAAACCCAACCCAATCCCTGATTACTTCTATCTTCTGTCCCCTCTGTTCTTACTCATGTGCTGTGGAATGGCATGGAAAGAAACCACAGAAACATTTTGACTAGGTGTACTACAAATTTGTGTTATCTAATGTCAGTTGGACCCTCACTGAAGCAAGACAGTTCTTTTGCCCCTCTTTAATTGTTTTTTTTTTCCTTCGAGGAAATTGGTGTTAAGTAACTTGCCCAGGGTCACATAGCTAGTAAGTGTCTGAACTAGTATGGTGGCAGGGAAGCTCAAGACACAATATCAATAGAACCCTATGAACTCTATCACCGTCAGAGTTCACAGAGAAAATCCTATTAGACAAAGCCTAAGAATAGTTCTGTTATGTTATGATGATCTTAAGAAAAGAAAGGAAGAAGAGGAGAAGAGGAATATGCTGAGAGGAAGGGAAAATGGAAAATTATCTCACATAATCAGGATGCACAAGCAGACATCTCTATACAAAGAAGAGAGAATGAACTTTGCTGCTGACACTTAAACCTCACTCTTCATCTCACCTGGTCAAAAGAAAGAAGACTATACACACGGAACTGGATATGGAAATTTGTTTTACTCAATAGGTAAATAGGAAGGAGAGGGGAGAAAGGGAGAAGAAGAACTAAAGAGTACGTCAAAGGAGAGATTAGTTCTACCAAAACACAAATTAAGAATGTACAAAAATATTCATAACTTTTTGAGGTGGAAAAGAGTAAGAATCTGAAGGGGTATCCATAAATTAGGGAATGTATGAAGAAGTTATGATGTATAAATGTAATGGAATATTATTGTGAAACACGCTACCCTCCTCCTGATGGAGAGGTAAAAGACTCAGAATGAAGTATTAGACAAAAATTTTTTTTGGGCATGGCCAGTGTGGAAATTTGTTTTGTTGGACTATACATGATTATAAAGGGTTTTGTTTTTCTTGCATTCTCAAGGTGGGGTGTGGGGTGGGGAGGTGCTCTTGGGGATAGGTTGAGAAGGCGGGTTTTGATTCATTAAAATAAATAAAATATACAC